CACCTGCAGTGGCAAGAGACAGTAAATACCTGACAGGCACTTTGATCGAAATGTTTTCAAAATAAAAAGTCTAGGAATTTAAGTAGTTCTGCGGTTTTAAGGAGACATGAGCCTTTACCTGCGAGGAGGTGAGGCCAGGGCAGAGGCCTTATGGGACAAAGCTTTAGGAGAGGTGGATTTCTTTCTGGCTGGCGGTGAAGTCGGGTGCGATGACACACTACCAGAGCGCTCCTCTGATGTCACCGACCGCTTGGCCTTGTGGGAACTGTCCGATCTGTCTCTGCAGGCAACAAGGTTATGTTGAAAAGAACGAGTGTTAGAAATGTGTCATGATTTCAAATATCAATAGACCAGCAAGATTTATCTTCACGGTGATTTCTCAGTGACGCGTAAACACACTAATATTATTAAAACAGTCGAACACTGACTCATCACTGTACCTGCGTTTTTCCTTCTTCTCTTTGTGTTTCTCTGTGTCCCGTCCTCGATCTTTCCCCTCTTTTTGCTTCTCCTCAGACTTCTCCTTGTTTTTGTGTTTGCCTTTGTGTTTCTTCCCAACGACAGGAATGTCCAAGGGGACTGGCGGAGGAGGACTCGGAGTCCGGGGCCCTTTCTTTTTACTGTGACCTCCTTTTGAAGACCTGATTATAAGAGGACAGAAAACGTCAAACACAAATTGTTTTCAAGGACAGTGAACGCTTTTTTTTTTTTTTTACCATATTTTAACAAGAAAGCAAGAAAAACTAATGATGCTCTGAATGCCCATAGTTTTTAAAATCTACATTGATTAAATGTGCAGACTTCAACTCAGAATCATGACCACCCAAGTCATGACTACTTAAACTTTGACATTTTGTGACTACTATCTGAAAGCCCCCCCTCATGCATGCCTACCTGGCAGATTCTGAAACCGGTGAGGACACAGACGCCTTCTTCTCCTTCTTGCCAGATCCTGGGCCTTTTGTTCCACTTTTGTGCTTTGGGGATCCACTGGACTTTCTGGATGAGGGTGAATCTCTGTTGCTTAACTGCTCTGGGGAGGCCTGCAGGACAGAGACCACAGATCAGGTTAAAACAGACCGCTACTAATACAAGGGCTACAGAGCTGTGCTCGCAGAAAGAGAGATTCTTAAAGAAAAATATGTATTTCTTTAAAAAAAAAAGTCAAAGCAGAGGTAGGAAATAGATCCTCACTTTAGGCATGGCAGTCGCTCTTGTTTTGGTGGGGGTCTCGTCTTTCTTGATGACGATCTCCTCCCTCTTTTCCAAGTTCTCCAATTTCATCAGCTCACGTTGAATCTTTTGGCGCTTCATTTCTAGGGATAACTCGTAGTCGTAGTCACCGATATCCGAGTCTGAGGGAAACAAAACCCAGAGACTTAGAAAATACCAAAGCAAACTTGATGAATGTTGATTCATTTATTTTGTTTCAAAAGTAAGTAATGAAATGGATGTTGACATGACTTAAAGAAAACAAGCTGTTCTACCTTCACGGTTTGTCTCCCACTCTGTGGGCTCTTCTTCACTGGCTGGGGTGCGCTCCTTTGTTATCTTTATATCCTCCTTCTCCCTGTGTCGGCCTCTGGAGGAGTCTCTCTGCTGTAGACAAATACGCACAAATGTTTTGACTCTTCAAGTTTCAATTATTTGTTTGAAGAGTAAAGATAAAGGGAGTAGGGAACTCACTCTCGCTGTGGGGGATGTGGGCTCTTCTGGGTCTCGCTTTAGGTTTTCTGGGTCAACATCTTGTCTTTTATTCTTCATCCTCTCCCGCAGATCACCTGTGGGTCTCTCGGCTGACCTGCTCCATGAGAAATAACATTGATCAACCAATGAACACGGCAAAATAATAAAGTTCGTCCTGAAAAGCAAAACACATAGACTTCCACAAAGAAATCCTGATGTCAAAAAGTAAACACGTAAAGTAAATTCAAACTAAAACAAGCCATCTTACCGACTAAAGCTAAATCCTTTGCCTCGTGGCTGAGTTCCATGTGTGTAGCGACAAGTGTTGCCGTAACTGCAATTACCGGTCTTCAGCCAATTTCTACAGTGACTCTGAAAGACCCAAACAGATCAGATGCAACATGATCACATTCAACAACATCAACTGAGATGAGACAGCCTTCACTGATGTGATGTTAGGAGAACCTCAGGTTAAGTGAAAGTGCTTCCAGTTAAGGAATGAGGCCCTGTAGACCCTTTTTTTTTTTACATAATCTGGGTCAAAATAACCTATTTATATTTTTAAAAAAAATGTGTTTCTCTAGCGCAGCAACAAAACTGCCTATAAAGACTACACAGTTATTTCTCATTCTTAATTAAACTCCACACCATAAGCTTTCAAACAATTCACTCTCTACAGGAATAATCTTGACTGTATGAAAGTGAAACAGTGCTAGTGCTTTCACACTTGCACAAAACTCCTGAAGTCCTCGTATTTTTTTCCTGCAGAAAGTCTGAGTCAACTGAAGTGAGAGCACAGCGGGATACAATCAGGAGAATTCACTTCCAAGCAAAGGGGAGGGGAATCAGCGCACGGCCACGGACTGCCTGCATGCGACAGGTGTGATTTCCGCGCACGTATTTAAACTGCTGCAGTATGTTTTCCGTTCTGTTGATATTGTGATTCTGTTGAACTGACCATAGCATTGATGTAAAGGCAAATATTGTCAGTATAGCGTTGACTAGTGGGCTCTGCTGCCTCGTCAGCCCCTTCCACACCCTCTAGATTAGGGGGATTTCAGGGGCAGGTCGCCTGAGATTTTTAAGAGTGCAAAAATGAAAACGGCTTTAGAGTCTTGGGTGCATCTGCTGCAAAAAACCTGAACATTATTATTATTATTTGTACATCAACCATGAAAGTCAGCCGCAGTTAATACATACATCAGCAGCATTACTCCCAGTGCTGGGGCCAAGTCTTTCGAACACGCTGGGCCGGCGGGAGGGGGCGGCGGGGTTGTTGCTGGTGCTGCTGGTCGGGGTGCTGCTGCTGCTGTCAGATATGGTTTTTGAATTCTCCACTGTTACCTTCCGCCTGATCTTGGACATTCTGCAGGACTGGAAGTATGACAAATTCATTATTACATGCATTACTACAAGCACCAGCTTTTCCAGTTAAAAAGAGGCAAATGGAGAATCCTGCCAGTAGAATAAATCCCATCTTTGCTTCTCTATTTACACCTGTGATTATTTCATCGTGTCATCCTGTTTAGATCAAATGAGTTAAAATACAACATTGCAGATGTGTTTTAAACATCTGCAATGTTGTATTTACATTGATTTATTTATTCTATGTGCAGTGCTTGTTTCACCTATTATACCCCCTTGTCCAAAAGGAAATGGCATGCTGAAGACTAACCATAAAAACACATTTTATTCACATCCTTTACTTCCAGCTCTGATTTCTGCAGGACTCCTCCAAAACATGCTCCCTTCTCTCTGTTGAGAGCTGAACCTCACAACCAGCAACAACGAGGGTTACATGCTGCTAAAGCTGTTTGCATTTAAACATTTAAATGCTTATTAGTGAAGAAGTTACGCCTTTAAACATCACACATGCCTGGCATTGTACTAAACAAGCGAACGAATGCTAACGCTAAAGTTAGCTTAGCGCGGGGCCTTCATTCTACATTTAGCCACTGGTCCGCTAACTTTTTGGATTAAAAACAAAAGCCGTCTCACCCAAGATATTGAGTCGGTGTCGCATCTACTTTAGTCCAGTAAAAGGATTCAGCTCTTGTAGAAATAACAGGCTTATTCTTTCAAATGAAAGGCAGAACCTGCCCCGTGTGCCTTCATGTTAGCGCAGGGTGCGCATCCTATGAGCGGCCCTTCTTCTTCTTCGCTTGGTTTTTATTGGCGGTTGACAACCAGCCTGAAGGCGCATCACCGCCACACACTGGGCTGGAGTGAGAGACAAGATGACGGAACTCTAATCCTTTAACAATGTTATTTAACTCGTTATATCTTTTCGCAGACCTAGAGTCAAGAATATTCTGTAGTGTGTAATGAACCACTCTATATTCTTTATTTGTTTTCTTTTCTTAAAGGTCAAAGCTCAATGTCCTGTATACTTATAGTTGTGAATACATATCTTTATCTTTATTTTTATTTTATGCTCTTCTTCTTGTCTTTTACTGCTGCAACACTTGAATTTCCACACTGGGGATCGATAAAGGATTATCTTATCTTATCTTATTTTGAAGCTAACTATTCAAAAGTACACTCAGTTTACTGCACATTGCACATATTGCACAAGTTTACTTTTTCTTTCAATTTTATTTTATTTTATTTACCATTTTGTACCTTTTGCACAATTTAGAATTTATTACTGTAAATATTATTTATCTTATTTTTACCTCATTTTATTTGATCTATTTTACCTTATCTTATTTTACCTTATGTTGGTTGTATTGCACCGCGGGACGGAGACAAACGCAATTTCGATTCCACTGTATGGCATATTTTGAAATTGACAATAAAGTTGACTTTGACTTTGATAATATGTGACCTTTAAGTTGACTAGCATCAAGCTACTGATCAATCACACCACTGTTCCACAGAGTGTGGATCAAGTTAGATTTACTGTCAAAATTCAGTAAATCACATTTAAAAAAAAATGTCATACATGCCCAAAATACTTAAACATAGGCTACCTTCAACTACATTTATTCTTAGAAGTCATAGAAATTCAAAAGACTGACGCTGTAGCTCATTCCTTAAGGACTTGGGTTGGGAACAGGAGGGTTGCCAGTTCACTTCCTGAGCACTGCCAAGGTGCCCTTGAGGGCTCAAGCGCTCTTTCATGTGCAGCCTCACATCTCTCCACTAGTGCATGTCCATATGATCCTGTTTGTGCACTTGTGTGTATTTCAGCCTGAGTGTGTAGCATGTCTCAAAAACAGCGTGTAATTAATAAACAGCGTGGGATTAATAAACACCAATAAACTACAACTATAAAAAATGGGGGAAAATAAGACAATATTAAGCAAATGAACAACATGGAAATGTTTATTTGGCATCAGAATTACACAATTTATATCATTACTGACTTAATCACCTTATAAACAATCAAACCAATTTGTGTCAACAAGTTTCATCCACAAAAGTTACTTCCAGAAAGGTGTAGCTGCTGTAGGAGGACTTGTTGGGGTCTGTGTTTTCTCTATAACTTTCAGAGCGATGGTCTTCACACCGGTCAGAGCTTCATTGCAGGCTTTGGGTATGTGAGATGGTGGCAGGAGGAAGCCGTAATGCCCGCGGTCCTGGAGCTCAAAAGTGAAGGAGTATTTGATGCCGAGGTTGTACGCCCAGTCGTCTGAACCACCTGGAGCCAAGTCTGAGGAATGAGCAAAGACACTTAGGAAAGGGACTGAATCAAGTCAAGCTATACCTTCAAATGAAAAAAAACAAGTCTTACATATTGTCTTTGCTCCTGAACCGTATCTGTAGTTGCTCCTGTAGTATCTCCTGATTTTCTCGGTTGCTTCTTTGGCAATCTCAAGCTAAAGAAATGCATTTGAAAAACAGTTGAAAGCCATCCTGCAGAATAAAGCCTCCACACACTCTGGAGCTCTTATCTTCAAGAGAAAAGCTCTCACATTTGTGTTTGATGGATGAGGCACCGAGAAAACCACTCACCAGTTCGTTGTGGTTCTCTGCCTCCTCTACGGTGTACGAGTACGGGAAGAGCAGCATCTGAGAGTACGAGTGGATGCTGACGTAGAGCTGGATCGTGTCTTTGTGGCTGCGCAGGAACTCGGCCACGGCGTGAGTCTCTGGTTCTGACTCTGGGAAGGCGCCACAGTAGATCTCAGTGCAGGGGTTAGGAGAGGATCCCTCCGCTGGAAGACACAGCATCACTTCACTGTATGTTATGCTACAAAGACTTTTTCATGCATGATGAGTTATTATAAAAACATCACAATCAAACCATAATGTCAAACCAAGTCCTATCAATCGCTCAATCATCTCCAGTTATACATAAGAAACAAACTATAGTCAGTGGCTAATTGGGTTCATTTGTCGCGAAGGAATCATCACAGCCTCTGCAGCTGCTTTCTGAAGCAATCTGTGAAATTTTGGATCTATTGTTCATGAAGACGTTTAAATAAGCAAAAAGTATTGTAAAGGTTTCAAAAACAAGAATGCACTTTAACATATTTCAGTTTTATTTGGGATTGAGAAATGATTTTGTCCCAATCAACAAATTATTGGAGTGTGTACTGAGAGTCAAAGGATTACTTTAAAGTGGATGTCTAGTTGATGTGATGATTCTCCAGTACAGGACAGCTGGTTCATGACGGAGGACTTACTGCACCAGTTGGCGTCAAAGTTCCTGTTCAGGTCGACTCCGATGCAGTCACTGTTCATGCTGGCGGAGCGGTTCTTCCTCCACATCCTGTTCTGAGAAAAAAAAAGAATATCAGGGACGGCTCATGAATCCAGCTGAAATGTTCGGCCTTTACAACTTCTCTGTTATTTTGAATGCGCTCTCACTGTGTAATGTGTCCATGTGTAAGAGTATCCATCAGGGTTCAGCACAGGCAGGATGTAGATGTCCATGTTGTCCAGGATGTCAGTGATGTCTTGGTTTACATCGTAAAAGGCCAACGACTGGGGGAGAAGGGACGTTTGATGTTAGAGCGAGAACACTGTGAAACTTTACTTCAATGTTTCCTCCCTGCTGTGATGCGTTCAGTGTACTCACATGCTGAACAAACCACAAGCAGAAAGCAGGAGAGATCCACTCCCTGGCATGGATCCCACAGTCAATCCACATGGCCTTCTTATCTGCTCTGTCATTTAAAGACAACTGAGGGATAAAGTAAGGATTAGTCAGAAGTCAAAATGTTCAACGAGCGTGTTATCTTCAGATGACGAGTGGAAGAACCTTCAGGACATAGAGCGGACGTTTCTCACTCGATGAGCCAATGAGAATGGTTTTTACTCTGGCGAGGTTTTCCTGTGTGGTCCTGTTTATCCAATAATAGATCTACAATGATTAAAGGGAAATATATTCAGTAAATACAGCAGCCTGCTTCCAGGTAATCTAATAATATTGTGATAAATACTGTCGATGCAAGCAAAAAAAAAAAAGACTCAAAAGGAGCCAGAAATTGTTAAATATGATCAAATTCTCACAGCTTGTCAAAATAAAAACCTGCCAAACTGGAAATGATACTGGGCTATAGTACCAAAACAACTTTCATAAAGTTTAAACCTTAAAAAAAAAGGATCATAATAAACCATAAAACTAGAAGTAACTGCAGCAAAAATGTCAATATTTTGCAAGTTGTACTTAATAAAATGAAGCACTCAAGAGTTCAGTGTTACTGACAGACCCAAAACACAATTCTCGGTTCCTGTTAAGTAGTGTTAAGTTTTCTTTTTTTTAAATTGCACTCATGGTAATGCAATCTGATCGATAAAGGAGACATGCATACATCCTCCAGACTGTGATATCTCTCGTAGAAATTTGTGCTGCTCCGTGGGTCGGTGGAGTCGTTCATCGTCTGCATTTCGATCAACTCATTGGTGTTGGCCAGTAACACCCTGAAATAAATAAAAAACAAACACATTGCACAGTTACTATGCTGCAGGTCTGTGATATCTTTGTGTTAAGCGTGTACAATTTCAGAAAGGGCAACACACGCATGGGTTATGGCATGTCCCTGCAGCAGGTTCTTTACAGTCTCTAAGTTGGTTGCAGGAACAAACAGGTGGACCTCACTTTCTTCTTGGATGTATTGAGGTGCAGCCGGCTGCCATAAGGCTGTCTGGTTAGAAAGTAAGTCAGAGAAAAATCACAGAGGGTAAAAAAAGAAAAGGCCATGAAAGAAAGCTTAGAAGAAGACGTGCAGCTCCTACCTCATATTGAGAGGTGAGATTCTTCAAGATGTCCACTTGCTCCTCTGTTTTTGGGGTGATTGACAGGATTTGGTCCCTGAAGGAGAAGAAATCGAGAACATCAGGAGATTACACAGTCTACCATGAAGGACGCAGAGGTCCGGAAGAATGCGTCACGGTGTTTTAAAGGCGGCTGTAACTCCTACGTTGTTTAAGTTAAAAGTGGGACAGTGTTGTCAAGTCAATTTTAAATGATTGTTGTGTGACCTGAGTACATTTGGACAGCACAACAATCGTGTAAAGGGGAGTGCGTTTGAATAAGTTTGTCATCTTGCTGTTTTCTTTGTGGGAAAGAAGTGACTTGCTCTTTCCCACGATAGCTAATAAAATCCAAATCCACTTACTGTGTTTCTGTGCAGTGTCCAGTCTTCAGGAGTTTCTGCACGTTGATTAAAACAAACAATATCCAGAGAGATTTCATGTTGTCAGGATTCCAAACTGGAAATGACAAGAAGTTTGTTCCCAAAACACAGCAGACGGGACAGATTATTGATCAAATCAGTGTTTATTTAGAAGTTAAACATTACTTTTGTTGAAAGACGAGGGCATAGATCAGCAATCAGGGCTGAGAGAGAGCAGGTAGTCTGTATTCCTCTTACTATAGTTCCAAATGCAGTTAAGGGTGTTCTTTTAATTTGACCAATTGCAAAAACACATCTCATCGATAGGACTGATTATTGTGCTTACACAAATCCACTTTTTCTAAATACCCACATTATGATCTTCTTTGTTTTCATGCCTTTTATTTAAAGATAGGACAGTGAAAAGAGTAAGATATCAGGAGAGAGAGGAGCCACAGGTCGGATGAGAACCCAGGCCAACCGCTTGGAGGACCACAGCCTCCGTAAATGGGGCGCTCACATCAACCACTGGGCTGCCGACTCCTCAATATTATGACATTTAATGACTTGTTTTAATACAAAATGAAACAACAACAAAAAAAAAGTTGTAAAGCTATTTTATTTTACGCTTATAAGTGTGAATGATTCATCTGTTCTGGCTTTCTTCACACTTCTGGAGGCCAGTAGATTCATTTGATATGATGAAAGGCTTTTATAAGCATTTTGCTTCTGCTGCCTGTTCAAACAAATGCATGTCTGTTTGTTTTAACTGTCTATATTGTTTATAATTTTGAGATAGATTGATAGATAATACACATTATAATAAAAAAAAAACACTGAATATAAAAGCTCGAAAAATTTGAATATGTCTTTTTTTAATACAGCACAAGGTTAAGAATATAAATCAATCAATTTTTATTTGTATAGCGTCAACTCATAACAAGTGTTATCTCGAGACACTTTACAAAAAGCAGGTAAAATACTTTACTCTTTGTCTGTTAACATTACAAAAGAGCAGGTAAAATACTTTACTCTTTGTCTGTTAACATTACAAAAAGCAGGTAAAATACCTTACTCATTGTTATGTTACAAAAAGCAGGTAAAATACCTTACTCATTGCTATATTACAAAGAATATGACATGATGGATCAAATGGACAAAAGCGGTTGCAGTAACACCTCCACACCGGTAGATGGCGCTCAGTAATAACAACAACAACTCGCAAATCACAAAGCAGGAAAGAGAACTTAAACACGGCGATGCGTGTTGTTAAAGATGTCGCCTCACGATCAGCTGGCCCTCTGTTTGTGTGAAATAACACGGTAAGGAACAAAATGCGACAAACTACGCGTTTAAATTCACTTATTTTGTCATGAAATGTCTCATTTAAAAGAGTAGAATTATTCTATATGGTACGACATCTGCACATTATAATCTAAAGAACTGCATAAAGTCCACCACAGGTTCTACTGTGACTCGCTTGTCAGCACTAAAATCATATTTATTGTTGAGGAAATCCTCGATGAATATGTCAAAATGTGTCTAGTTTGTTTAAAGCTTTCACTCATAATGTTTCTTTATGACCTACAGTTGTTCAATACTCTCTTTAACCATGTTGTAGTCTATATATTGCAACTGTTAATAGTTTATTCATCATTAAAGCGTTATGTACATGCAACACTATTTAATGTGTGTTTATTCTCACATGTAGCTGTATCCTTGGCCTGTTTCCCTTTTTTAAACACATGTTTGGGTCTTAATATTTAGTCTGGTTGGGGTTGGTTAAATTGTTTTTCTTTAAAGCCTTATATAAAATATTGCTGTGGAGTTAATTCCCCTTTGAAACATAATTGTGGCAAACCCAGTTATCTAGAAATCCGCTCCTTTTGCCTATTTCAGGTTTGCTCTAACGTCAGAGTTATGTCTCTGTTTTGCAGGTTGCTGTGGAAGCTGCTGCTGCCTCTGCTGTTTCTGTGCGTGCTGCTGGTCGCTGTCCTCGTCCTGCTGGTTCTGGCTGTGCGTCTTTGGCTTCAAAGCAGCAGGAGCGCTCGGAGGGCGAGGGATGGACGTCCAACCGTGGCCTTCTTCCACCCGTACTGTAACGCTGGTGGAGGGGGAGAGAGGGTGCTCTGGTGTGCCATCAGGGCGCTACAAAACAGGTAAAAAGCTTTGCCCTTTCTCCCCCCCCATCGGGCCAACTTGTTTGCGCTGCGATATGTTGAAACTGTGTCTCTTCCAGGTACGTGGACGTGAATTTTGTGGTGTACACGGGGGACCTGGGCGTGACGGCTCAGCAAATTCTGGAAGGAGCACGTCGTCGCTTTAACGTCGTGCTCCCTCGGCCGATTCAGTTCGTGTTCCTGAGGCATCGGCTGCTGGTGGAGCCCGGCCTCTTTCCTCACTTCACCCTCCTCGGTCAGAGCGTGGGCTCCGTCTTCCTGGGATGGGAGGCGCTGACAGAGTTCGTCCCGGACCTTTACGTCGACTCCATGGGCTACGCCTTCACTCTCCCCCTGTTCCGCTACCTGGGAGGCTGCAGCGTGGGGAGTTACGTTCACTACCCCACCATCAGCACTGACATGCTGTCTGTGGTGAGAGAGAGGAACCCCAGGTAATCCTTCTTCTTCTTTTCCTCGCCTCTCCTTGTGTTTTCTTCCTGGATTTATAACGCAACCTGTTGCTGTTTCAGGTTCAACAACGCAGACTACGTCTCCAATAGTCTCTTCCTGAGCGCCTTCAAAGTGGTCTACTACTGCCTCTTCGCCCTCCTCTACGGCATGGCCGGCTCCTGTAGCGACCTCATCATGGTCAACTCCTCCTGGACCCTGGATCACATCCTGTCCCTGTGGCGTGCTCCGAACCGCACCAGCGTTGTCTACCCGCCCTGCGACGTCAGCGCCTTCCTAGACGTCCCTCTGGAAGAGGACGGGGACAGGAGGTGCCACTCGATAGTCTCCATCGGGCAGTTCAGGCCGGAGAAGGACCACCGGCTGCAGATCAGAGCGTTCAAGAAGGTGTTGGACCGGAGGAGGGAGGGGGCGGGGGGAAGAGAGGCGCTGAAGCTGGTTCTGATTGGTGGATGCAGGAATCAGGAGGATGAGGACAGGGTGCTGATGCTGAGGGGGCTGTGCCAGGAGCTGGGCATGGCGGACAGGGTGGAGTTTAAACTAAATGTTCCTTTTGAGGAGCTGAAGAGAGAGATGGGGGAAGCAACCATCGGGCTGCATACCATGTGGAACGAACACTTTGGAATAGGTAAATTGACAGTCTGATGCTATGTTAAAATGTAAAAAAAAAAACTATCTTGAGATATTACATTTCTTCTTTTGCCTCCTCCAGGTGTTGTTGAATGTATGGCGGCGGGAAAAGTCATCCTGGCGCACAAATCCGGCGGTCCCAAGCTCGACATCGTGGTCCCTTATGAGGGAGGCCAAACAGGCTTCCTCGCCGAGGACGAGGACGGATACGCCGAGGCCATAGAGAGGATCCTCACGCTGACGCCTGAAAACCGTCTGCAGATCAGACGGAACGCACGCCAGTCTGTCGCCCGCTTCTCTGATCAGGAGTTTGAGGCGTGTTTCTGCGCTGCTATGGAGCCTCTGATGGGAACGCTTGAACGATGAGGACTCGTTCTGTGTGTGTAGTCGACACGTTAGGGGCTGTTAGACCCTTTGAGCACCTTTATTTTTGATGCACTGACTGGTGACACTTTGTTTCCCCACCATGTTCTCAGAGTACAGTTTAGGCACCTGGCAGAAACACATCAAATTGTTCCATTTTTACCTCGCGTGGTTAGAGAAATCCAGCTGCAGAAATGTTTGCATTTAGTTTGAGTTGTTTCTGTAAATACTCGATTATCCTGTTAGATTAAAGAAGCCCTGATTACTTTGTCCGTCAGTTTAACCAAAACAAGATTTATTATATTAATTATGTTGAAAATGGGTCCAGGGGAGCAAATTAGTATTTCAAAACACAACAGAACAGGAACGTTTTGCCCAGAATGTGAAATATTTTTGATATTGATGAATGTAATTAAAGATGTAATAAAGATATTAAGTGGGATGTTGCAGTAGGATGAGCCGTTGTTTATTTCATATTTACAATTATGAAATGTCTAAACATACGCTCGTAAAAATGTGTGAAGTGAAGGTGTAAGGCACAAATATGAAGAAGATAACTCCCTGAGTCCATATTTCTAAATGTCTTTCCAAAGTCGTTCTGATTGAGAGACGCCTTAACAGCAACATTTACATTCAGAGTCTCTAATCATTACATAGAATAAGTAAAGCTAATCTTCCTGCATAAATTAACCCAAACACTAAAATTAAGAAGAGGCAAAGGGCCACGTGTTACAAATGTGTACGAGTTCTGAGTCTAAACTCACCACTTTGAATTTATTAACAAAAAAATATATTTCGATATATATCAGGTCAGAAACAGATTCCAAAGTCTGGGATAAAAAAAAAAAAAAAAGACTTATTTCTATTCTTTTTCTTTAAATAGAGATAAGTGCTAATTACTAAAATGTGCATTGTGATATTTAGTGTTTCAGACTGACCACAGCCGAGATATCATCAAGCAGCAGCACTCCTCCTCCTCCTCCTCACATCCTGCCAGGTCGCTTAGTTCTTAGCTCCTCACAGGAAGTCAAGACCAGAGATTTTGTGTATTAAAGACAGAATTATTTTTCATCCATTTTTCCTCCATTAATGATACTTTATTGGTCAGATGTTTTTACTGTAACATCCTATTTGATATTTTGCAAAATGATTGCAGGATGAGACCACTAGAGGGCGCATTCGCTCCACAGACACAACATGTGCATTCAATAAAGTGAAAAGCCTGAGATGTTTGCAGGTTCATCACACCTAATCATTTGGAAAACAAAATGAGGACTCTGAGACGGATTGAGGATCTGGTTTGAACATTTATATTGTGATTTTCAGTTTAAATGCAAGAGGACACATTTACTCTTATCTGAAACCGTTTTTCTTCATGTAACTCTGCCCCACATGTTCACGTCAGCACATCAATAACTTACATACTGCACTGAAGCAAACATCCTGTAAAAGACAATGATATTCAGTTAGAAGAAATGGTACACAGCCTCTGTCTTCAAGAAGGCTGCTGCAGGGACAAAAGAACAGCGTGTCCAAAAGGGCCTGTGTGGAAAAAGACCACCTTCAAAGGATTCATTTCCACACCAACGCCAAATTTAAAACCAGTTTAAAGTGTCTCAAATGATAATGATATGTCGTCCTGATGCACACAGACATGTTGACATTGAGCACCCTTAAAATGAAGCCATTCCTGCAAGAAGTCAAAACCCTTCATGATCCAATCTGTAGGTACAAAGTCAAGATATAACCTCAGTTGGACCTTAGTGCACCGAGGATTGAAGCAGTAATGGCACCATGAAGAAACAAAGACACGACAGACACACAAAGTTGAAAGCAACATTCAGTCTGATGCCAGACTTCTGTTATTGACGACATGGTTTAATTCTCTGTACATTGACCCCGACAAATGTATGTTTTATCAGCTTGTGTGGATAACATGAGTGTACTTCACAATCCAATCTGTACATTCTTGAACGACATCCTGAAATGTGATACCATGTAACTTTAGAAGGCGGCGGGACGGGCGGGGAGGGGGGGGGGGGGGGACCAACAGTCAAAGGGGAGGAGTAGCAGCTGCAACTGTACAGACACAAACTGAAGGAGAAGGTCCAAAATCGAGCCAAACACACGGGGAAGTCAACGCACACAGTCCACAGAGACGCACCATCACAGGCCTCCCGCCTCCATTACACAAGTCCTTTAAATAATGTTTTTTTTTTTTTGTTGTTTTGTTTTGTTTTTTTCCAGTTGCACGGTCCAGACACTGCTGAACCCTGGGAAGAAATCTGCTCTGACCTCTGTGCAAGACTTTGGGGATAAGGCTTCCTTTTCATTTGCATTTGCAAAGTTTCTAAACAGTCTTGAAATGTTTAAGTGAACAGGTTTAAAAGTTGTACTGATACTTTTTTTAATCAGAGCCCGACCGATATCAATGGAATTGATAAAAGACGATGCAGTATGGGCCCATTTAACACTATCAAGTTGCACTTATTAACATACAGCATGACCTGACAATTGCATGACTTAAACATTGAATCTATATATCTATCCACACTGACATGTGGTATTTTCTGATATACTCAAAAAGCAGATTTTTTTATTGTCAATTTTTGTGTTGAACACTGTACTGTACACAGAGTACAGTAAAACATGGAGTTGGAGCGCCCCTCTGCTGGACAAACAACTAAAATACGTCACATGTAAATCACCTCAAGGGTTATTCTCTCATACATTCTGTAAAAAGAAGTGTTTTATCGACATATCTTGTAAAAATTCATCTCTGATAGGGCCATGTTGTGTGATATCGGTCGGGCTCTAGTTTCATTGCCTTCATGTCTGTATTTATGTTCCCTAATATGCCTCCCTGTATACATTCCATTGTGCCAAAATGTTTTGTTCCTCTCTTGACTTTGTTGACCAGCTTTTTAAAATACAAACTCATAAAAAAAATCCTTCCATTTATCAATCATTAAATAATTTTATATAAAAGCAAAACCTAACCAACCAGCACTCCATGTAGGCCTTTCTTCCTAACCGTGAACTACACCACATGATCATACATGCATTCACACAATGCATGTATGTATCGTCAGTCTTGGGTGTTTTGGGATCTTTCTCACTCATGCACACACTTCAGAACAGCTTCATGTTTTTTTTTTTTTTTTTTTTTACAGCTAGTTCTTGCATGAGCTCCATGCAGTACCGAAGCAGAAAGCTCCTCGTGTCGGGGTTTTTTTTTTATATCCGGTACGTGGCACAAACTTATGGCAGAGAAGCGGATACATGGTTCGGCTCAGACTTGGATCCAGTAATATTTGAATGGTTCTTATTATTAGTGTTTATTTGAATCTGCTCAGGTAACCGGATGGAAGGGTTTTACCATACGGGGAAATGTAAGACTCTTTGACTTCGACTTTCCTGCTCTTGTCTTAATTTTGTCTTCATTTTCCAGCGTTGATAAAACCCACTGATCCGACAAACCAAGCTTTAAAAAAATGCAATAATTCGCAAACACTAACTGATCACGGTCCGGCTTGGGTTGAAGTATATACACACTCCCATATATTCTTTCATTGTCTTTATCGTGTCCTGATCTCCAAATTCAACACTCTCCGGTAAGTTTCGTTCCGTCCCCCCGTTTGGGTGGTGCAGGCGGGGGTCCCCGTCGTAATGTTGCATAGCCTGAGATGTTTCCGGACTTGTAGCCGTCGTTCCCTCCGTTGCTTTGCTTCCCTTGGTCCAGGAGCAGCTCGGGTGGAGGCGGGGGCAGCGCCATGTCGTCCATAGTTCCTGCAGGTTCCAACTTGCCCGTGAGGCCGGCTGAGGTTAGGGAACCTTGGCGACCCACTGACTTTCGCTTCAGTGTCCGGTGAAGATCATCCAGGAAATTAGGCTGGCCCGACCCACCCTTTGGGGAGGTGGGTGGAGGTGAAAGTGGTGGGGGGGTCTGGTGTGTTGTTGCCGCGCCGTACAAGTGTTGGTGGAGGAGTCTTTTTCAGTGAGCTTTTCCCCCATGTTGAGTTGCTTACAAGGGACACAGGTGGGGGAGGAGGGGGAGCTTGGGGTTGGGGGTTGACCACAGCAACTCTTGGTGGACCTCCGCTATGGGCATCAGAACCAGGAGGTGGAGGAGGGGGGAAGAGCTCTGAGGCAGGAGGGGGAGGTGGGAAGTAGGCGCACTCGGGAGGCGGAGAAGGGAAGTCGCCGCTAATTTGCTTGACCTGGCTCACTTTGGCCTGGAGAGCTGGAGGCAGGTTGGAAAGGTTGAGCTTGCCTGGTTTTGGGGGTGCTGGGGGTCCATTTGAGGGGTCCTTAGAAGGGGATCCAGAGGAATAGGAAGGGGGGCAAGGGGAGGAGGAAGGGGCGTTGCCTTGGGGGGGCAAACTTGCTCAGTAAGTTCCTCCTGGACTCCTCGTAGGAAGCTGAACCGTTGAGCTTGATGCTGGAGTTCCTCTGCGGGGCGGGAGGAGGTTTCTTGCCTCCGAAGCTGGAGGAGCCAGAGGGGGATCTCCTCAAGGGGCAGCCCAGGTTTCCAGGAGGAAGGGGAGGGGGCGGCGGAGTTGGGCCTGTAACTTTGGGAGGAGGTGGCGGAGACGGGCCTGTGACTTGCGGAGGTGGTGGTGGAGGTGGAGGTGGAGGAGGAGGAGGGGCGGGGAAGCCACCGTTGTTGTCAGGAGGGGGAGGAGGGAATTCAGGAGACTGTAGCTGCTGGCCTCCGCCTGGCTGCCATCTTGGTTTGGTCTTGACAGCAGGGGGGGAGAGGGGGGCTTTGGGGCTCTCCGTGTGATTGGCTGCTTGGGATGACGCTCCTGGAAACTGACTTGCGAGTTGTTTCACCAAAGACATCGCAGGAGGGCCTCCCGCTGACATGGATGACGGCTTTGACAGGCTGTGCTGCTTCGGCAAAGTAGGAGGCGGCTGGCTAGAGGTGTGCCCCGCCTGGAGGCTGAACTGCTTCTTGAAGGGAGCAGGTGGAGGAGGTGGTGGAGGTGGGGGTGGGCATGGGCCACCCAGGGCCGCAGGAGGTGGAGCAGGGGGGAAAGGGGAGACGGGTGAGACCGGTTTGGGGGCAGCATGCGGGATGAAGCCGGGGTTGAAGGTTTTTGGTGGCGCTGGAGGAGGAGGCGGGAACTGGGCTGGCACTGGGAACTGCTGGGGAGGAGGAGGAGGTGGTGGCGGAGGCGGAGGCGGAGGAGGTGGGGGTGTTGGAGCAGGGGCAGGGGGCGGGGAATCTTCAATGCCTCCGTTTGGAGAGAGGAGATCCCGTGGCGGGCTGGGAAACCGCTCCTTCAAGGCCTGCTTCAGCCCATTCGGGTAAACAGGGTGGCTCATGGGCGCCATTACCTCAGGAGGTGGAGGAGGAGGGGGAGGAAATGCAACGCCATTCATTTGGGGATCAGGTGGAGGGACTGGCGGTGGAGGAATGAAGGAAGGTGGGGCAGCAGGGCTTGGAGGACCCAGCCTCAAAACAGCCATGGCCGACCCTGGAGTTGGCATGGACGGTGGAGGAGGCGGTGGAGGAGGAGGCGGGACATTAGTCCTTGCCGCAATGTGATTGACATTTGGTTTGACGGGCGCTTGTGCCGGGGGCGGTCTTGGAGATGACGGTAGAACTTGATGACCTAAGGCGTGGATGTGACCTGGTAGCCTGTGGTTGGCTGTGTTGGAAGCATTTTGGCTCTGCAGCCGGTTGATGGTGCTGAACTTGTACATGGTTGGAGCCGGTGAGTGGTGAGAGACCATTTGAACCGGGGGCGGGGGAGGAGGGGGAGGTGGCGGCGGCGGGGGCGGAGGAGGAGCCACTTCTTGTTGCTGCTGCTGCTGCTGCTGCTGCTGCTGCTGCTGCTGTTGTTGCTGCTGCTGCTGCTGCTGGGGGGGATGTGGCTGTAGCTGGGAAGTGTTTTCCGCTGTTGTTGCGGCGACTGCGGGGGACGCTGAGTCATCTGCGGTGGAGGCGGGTGTGGAGTCTGTTGAGGAGACTGTTGAGGAGACTGAGGCTGGGGAGGTGGGGTCTGGGGGTGCACTGACGGGTGCTGAGACGGTGGCGGGTGCTGTTGGAGGGGTTGAGGTGGAGGCTGAGGTTGGGGAGGGGGCGTCAGGGCGGGATGATCGGCTGAATGCTGGCTGTGATGGCGGTGACTGTGGGAGACGTGAGGCAGGGTGCCCGATCTGGACGCCTCCATCCTCATGTGCTGCGAAAAAGAGAGTAACAGCTTAGTGACATGAAAAATTGATTTTTTTTTTCAAACACATATTTCTGTGACAGGAAGTCATACCTTGGTGTTTTCCTCGATCTGGGTCCCTCTCTTCCAGGCCTCAGAGAAGATGGAGCTGACCACACTCTGCGAGCGACCATGAGAAGATCCAGTGTCGACCCCGCTGTCTGAGTGTCCCGAATGATTAGACTGGGACTCTAAAGGCACACACATAAAAGACTCTTTGAGAGTATTCTTAAAGCAGCTCAAGTATGATTTGTGTCAAGCTTAAAGTTGTGTCAAAGTTCTTAATATAAAACTGAATGAGTTAGAAAATGAAAGTGTTATTCTGTTCAAATACATTTTGACATCTTCACAGACCTTTATAATGAGGACAAAAACAAAGAGTTTCTGTGGCAGTAAACACCTGACAAATGCACCCTGGTAATATTTTTGTAATGTACTCAGCGTTATGTGACTTTCTGGACTTTTCTTTTTAAGAGAAAAAGCATTCCCAAATAGCATGGCATTTGACAATCTGGGAATCAATGGTTTAATAATGGGGGCGGGCTGTGGGCTCAGTGGCAGCGTCAGTCATCTCTCAACCCGGAAGGTCAGGGAGGTCTACACTGGAATTATCTCAGCTGGTGCAACACCTAAAATGGAAGTAGAGCGCGAACTCTGTCTTCAGTTGGAACTTTTACTTAGCCAACAGGTTCTGCAATGATACAGAAAACCCTTCTGAAAAAAAAAATCAGGAAAGTGAGTGAAAAATTGAATTCCTGGATGCTGCACTGACAGTCTGATTAGAAAACGAACTAACCAGGTATGCTAGCAGAGCTGGAGCCTGATCGGATGCTGGCGGTCGACAGAGAGGACCAATCGTAGGCGGCCTCTGTCCTCTTCATGGCCTCCTGGTAGTTCATGTACAGCTGCTTCCCGTACTACAAACAAACACACACAACATGGTTAAGTACAAATTGACTGAATAGACAAACAACTATTTTTGTCCTATTTTTTTTTTTTTTTTAATTCTCTTTTAGACTCACCTTGGCGATGCGGATTCCATTCACCCATTGGTGCAGCGTCCTGACATCATCACAGCACAGGTACTTGATGTACTGAGACTTCTTCTGGATCTGTGGATGCTGCAGAGAGAAGTCAAAACAGATTCTACCATCAACAAATGCCTCAAACCTCCTCTCAGAAATGATGCAAACTTCATGATGAAAGTATTACGTATGCTTGAATGGGCTCGCATGCCTCTAGGACTAATCAGAGGGAGCAATAACACTCACTATCAGCTTATTAAAAGGCAATCTACTTAAATGAAAGAACTTTTATTGACTTGTTTGGAGGCAGTTTGCAGAGTGCTTTTGAAAGGAATGGAAAGCTAATGCAGTTAAGATGCTTGTCTAACGATTCAGAGAGAAGCTCTTATAAGTCTTTGTGGGTCAGTAAGAATATCTCAGATCAAACTGCTACATAACATCCGTACATGGAGCAAGAAGCTCAATGTTGACATGCTGCATATCTGTTGCTGCACACACATTTGCATCAACACTTGAAATGAAAAACTCTCCCCTGAGTTGAAAACATATGAAAAGGGGTTTGTGTACCTTGAGAGCCAGGCAGTAGTCAGTAGGAGCTTTGTATTTGCTGCGGTAGTCTTGACCATAATACACGTTAACATGGTCCAGCTGCAGGAAGCACACGAGATCTCTGGAAGCCTGCGGAGAGGGAGACAGAGGAGGACGCACTGAATGAATACAACAATACATCAAGGCACAGACGCGTACCTACCGATGCATCAAGTATTTTCCGTCAAGTTCTGACTTACTCGATGGAGGAAACGACTTGCGAGGCAGAAGTCCAAATTACATATTAATGGTCTCGGAGTATTTTTGAACAAACACTGTTTCTATGCTTGAGTGATGTCGCTCTAAATGGGCTTTAAATAATTATGCTCAGAGGAGCCGACTGCCACTGTGGTGGATGTTATGTGCATGTTTGTCAGAGTAGTAACACAGATTTGAATGAAATGCACAATACTTTCTTTAATGTGAGGGCTTTCACTCTAAGCAACTCCAGCAAATGAGCTAGGTGATCGCTCACAATAAGTTGCAGGATTTTAAAGGGAATATTCAAACTACCACACTATATTTTGGTGCTCTATTGACTAAAAAGTACAAAAAAAAGGAAACCCTGCAAATGATTGCTTCAGCATGCAGCATCAAAACAAACTATTAATGGCTGCCTTGTATGTTTTCAGTGCAAATATGCCTGAACAGATTGTGTCCATTAAGAGATGTACAGCCTCAGATTACATGCCTGACAAAAATACAGATCGCTGCAGAAATATACCTTTAAGTTACCTTCGCTCCATTCAAAGCCACCAGACTCCATTGACAAAAACAGCAATTTAACCCCCAAAGGAACAGGAGGTCCTCTTCTGTTGTCGACCTGCCTCGTTGGTTTTCTTGTTTGATTGTGTTGCGTTATATCTGAGCTGTCTCTTTAAAACACCTCGGCCACACAACAACACAAACAAACCATCTGATGGCGGCAGCAGTAGACCGTAAAGTGCTGCCTGGTGAAATGGGTGGTTTCATTAATGGGGTGTGGTGGGTGCACAAGAGAGCCACATTAGGAGCTGCTTCTGGTTTAAAAGAAATGTCTGACTTATCTATGCAGGGATCTTTTCTGTTATGTTGCCGTACACTTTAACAATCCGAGACTGTAAGTGGTAAACACAGGCGCTTTGGTTGGATGCAATTGCCCTGAAAGATTACAGCATGTTGCAGCCGTTGTGGCGCGCTATGTCGCTGCACCTTGAAGCAATCTACTGGAGCAATTCAAAACTTGTTGTACATTGTAGACCTCGAAATGTTTGAAAAAAATAAAGCTCAGACTTTAAAATACCCGAGTTTGTCTTTTAAAAAAAAAAAAAAGGTAAAAAAGTCATCCACAGTATTTGCCTCTTTAAGTGATGCTACTGAATGCTGATGTGGAGTCGCTGCTGAGTCTGGGAAAAAGTTTAGGGGATGATCGTACTAAAAATAGATCACATATGCACGACAAATCTTCTCTGGTGTATAAAAAAAACAAAACTTGATCAGTCACTTAACAGAAAACAGAAAGCTCCAAGCAGAACCTGGTTCTGATAGAAAGAACAACGTTTCTGTTCTGCATCTTAATTTTGCCTCACTGACCTTGGCTTTGCCTTTGGGGACGTAGTAGATCCCCGATGCTCTGAGGAGGAAGTAACGCTTCTTCCACGACTTCTTGCCATCTTCCTTTAGCCAGAGGATGCCTTCGATCTCCGGCACCGAGACCGTGCCGCCGCAGAAACACTCCTGATAAAACACACACATTATTACTTTTGTAGTTTTCTTGAGCTACAGGATGGAGAATTTATCAGAAGTTAGTGTGTATTCTCACCTCTAACAATGCTTCTTTGTTCCTGTCAGCCATTTCAGACGTCTCCTTCCGGCCCAACAAATAGTTCTGGAGATGATTGAGAGAATTAGTGAAGTGAATAAAGAGGAGGAGGGAAGTCGTCGGCTCACCTCCTCTTATGTGACATAAATTATTCACCTTTTACTCGCTTTAGAGCTTTGACCTACTTCCAACTCTCCAACACAAACACACTCCCTGTTCGCTCTCTGGGCTGTGCATGCATAAACAATGTGTTTGTGTGTACAGCATATGCTTTCAGCTTTCTACACACCGAATGCAGAGCGGCTACGTGAGAAACTGATCTACCTTCCTCGATCTCGTGTGTGTGTGTTCGTGTGTAAAGGCTAACGCCAAGTCACCTGAGGGTTCTTGAAGAGGGCATATTTCTCGATGCGTTCGATGAACATCAGCTTGTTGTGGCTGTCCCGGGTCCAGTTTAAGAGATTCTCCACCAAATTCTCATGATCCTCGAAAATACGCTCTGAGAGGGAAGAGGGGGGGAAAAGATGATAAGATGCAATGTCTGCAGGTTTTTTTTTTCTTTTTTGCAGATTGGCAAATGTGCACCTTTAACATGAGCCTAAAGTCACAACAGTTGCTATTCTTCTATTACAACACAGCACTGGTTTGTCACCTGCTAACCCTACAGCGAACATAAACTTTGAGTTTTTGTGGAAAATGCGCTCTTACCCATCTGCAGCTCGTTGATGGTTTCCACCAGAGACCAGTCAGGGCTGTATCCACAGTGGGACTTATCCAGCAGGCTGTCCAGCACCTGTCTGACTGTCTGCCGCTCGTCCACCATCATCGTCTTGGAGCTCTCGTCTGACATGTGGACCCTGATCACCAGCTGAGAAAGAGGGAATTCAATTTGTTTGTTGTTGTTACACTTGAAGTTAGGACAAAAAACAGAATTTATATTTGAGGGTGGGGAAGCATCAGAGGTCCTGCACTGTAACATAATCGCACATTGTGGACTGTTGTACTCGAGTCTTTTTGACTATGCAACTTGTAGAAGAAGTGATGCCACCCTCTTTAGCAACTACATCACCTTTACGAAGAAATAAAACACTGATAAGAAACCGGTATGATTGAGTTATCGTTGAAATCTACCAATTTGCAGAAGGCATGACCAAAAGAAGGTCAACAACAATGTTTGTGTCATTCTTTAAAATCCTGTGCGTCATATGTCTGCAGTCTGTCTATTTTAAAAGAGGCCATGGATTGTGGCTGTGGATGGACAGCTTTCTTTAAAAGAAGAAGAAATCTGATTATGAGGGGGGGCTTGTTCCAAATACTTGAAAACTATTTATGGGGTCACAAAGTCACAAACACTAAACCCTAAAAATCCAATAATCTGACCAAAGTTGTCTCCACAGGCAGCAAAAAGTCCCCCAAAATCAGCCAGATTAAACTAAGCTGGAGACAAACACACACGTGCCAAATCCAGCCTCCCTCAATCGCAGCCTACATAAATCTTGTCCTGGTGTGAAATCTAGTAAAGGCCTCAATTCCTTGACCTCCTGCCTGTCCCCCTCCCACTTGGGACCCTGATGTCCAATACGTTTACAGATGCAGCTGATTGATTGGAGACTCCGACCAATGAGAAAGGGGGACCAAGAAAGTGGAGTCTGACCTATATTTGAGAGTGGACGAACCCCTTAACCCCCAGAGTCGTAGAGGAAAAAAGATGACATAAAAACCAAGAGCATTAGACCCAAATGCAATGAAACAAACCGAATGTTAGGAATGCAAAATCTCGTAAAAATGTGCTCGCAGACAGCTGACGAATTATTTAGTATGTGACAGCCTTTTTGCGAGCACTAGCCGAGGTTTTTTTATGTGCAGGCAGTACCAGCGCTCTTTATCTTGTCGTATTGTTTTCACTTGGCAGAGTGCGGTCTTAACACACTACTGGGTCTCAACTATTCATTGCATAAAAAAGGACACCATTCTGCTGCTCTCATTCACAGAACAAGCTCATTCAGTGGCGGTAAAAATGGCCTGCCTGTGGTGTCTCTTACCCACTTCCCAATGGAGCCCATCGCCCCAGTTGTTACCGTGAAACAGCTCTTGTTTCTGTCGGGTTGGGGTAAATAAAATGTTTTGTGTAGAGCGTGTTTGCATTGTGTTGCAGCGTGAAGCCTCTCTCTGATTTCTTGCTCCCTCCCCGCACATAATCAAACACCGCAATGACCTATTTTCTCTGCGCTTCGCTGCCTTCGCCGTGAATGAAGTTCACAAAGAAAATGCAGCGTGTGGCGAACATGACGAGACAGCTGTTATTACCACGAGACAGGCAACTGTGTTTTCTTTTCCTTTGTTTTTAAAGAGAATGAGGACGTGAGATTGTGTGTCCTACCTTCTTGACCTGGGCCTCCTTGATTTTTTCCAAGGCGACTCGGATCTTCTCCGCTTTCAATTTGGCGGCTTGCTCCTCCTGGAAGGACAACCATTGTATTTAAAATTCACACACAAACCAAAAATGCAAGACAAATCACAAAAGAGAAAGAGTGTTTGATTTCACAGCCTTGCCTCATCCTCTCTCGGCATGTCTTTCATTATTCTCTGGCAGGAATAAGACATCATGCACACTCGACTTCATTAAATAGTGAGCAGCCTTCCAAACCGTTTAAACCCACAAGCCCGGGGCATGATGGCGCACGCTGTCAAGTGCAAATCCAAATTTTGCTGCTTGCTTACCTGCCCTCTCCAACAAGACGCCATCACCTCCATGCTGCAGGTCGTGTACACTTCCAGGTGAGCAAGTAGGAGTGAGCTTATGATCAATTCTGTGATAATTATCGATCAAATTTGCGGCTTTACTGACATCAGTCCCTCAAATATGGCGCCTATGGTTGCATATTGGATTCATATGGAGCTCCAGCCTTTGATCTTGCTTTACAGCAGAAGGGGGAGACAATAGTAGGAGACCCCCGAAGGGCGAGAGGCTGCGGATGATGCCCCCTGCTTAAAGATCCTCTTTGAGGATCGTATTCAGATTTCAAGGGCAAAAAAGGGAAAAATATCCAGATTCGTCCATAGTTTATGATTTAAAAGAAGGAGAAGGAACATTTCTTTCTCTGTTGTCGTTACGATAAAGCAGAAAATAGGAAAAATGGTAAACTCGTGACCTTCAAATGAAGCTTGAGGCGCAAAAAAAAGTTAGTCCTGAGCGAGCATCCATCCACGTCTTCTGACATCAGAGGACTCTGTGAGTGACCTGCAGACATGTGCGCTTGATATGAGCACAACTTCACTTAGAAAGCCAAGTGAGACAGTCGGGAAGACGATGCCCCTCCCCCCTTTTTTTCTCCCCTCTCTCTCTCTCTCTCTCTCTCTCTCTCTCTCTCTCTCTGTATATATCTGATGCAGGAGCATGCCCAATCGATGGAGCATAATCCCCACAAATATTGTAGGAACCAGCGAGACCCTACTGCAAGACCTTCCAGCCAATCAAGGCGAAGAGGGGGAGAACCGTGACCAGCACCACCCCATGGCTAAACTACAGTGACAAGGACGGAGGGAGGAATTTGGGTGAATGAGAGGCTGACGTGCTGAATATTTGAAGTGCCCAGACGGGGTGAGGGGGTATTAAAAGTGCTCCCCAAGCCTCTTATCTTAAAAACTAAACAACCCCCCCCCCCCTCCTTCTTTCCTTGACCCAGACTACCTTTTCCACATGACCGACTTCAGGGCACATGCACATTAATGCTAACACTCTGTTTGGCCAACATATAGATGCCGGCTTTTAGTCAGTGTGAGGAGAGGAGAGGGGAGGTCACGGGGGGTTTGTGCAGATTACAGCCTGAGAGTCAATCTGAGTCACGCTGCAGGTTTTAGCCCAATAATTGTCAGCGTAACCTGGCCGACACCCCCCTTTATTTCCTCTCTGCATGCCGCCTCCACCCTGCTTTACATTATTTCTATTCCACAGGCGTTCCTTCTTTCTTTTTTTTTTTTTTTTTAAAAGGCTCTTCTTCTGCCGAGCTCTGGAATAAAAAATATCTTGGCACCCGCTCTCTTTGATCTCTCTCCACTTCTCGCTTGTTCCCAAACATCGCGCTCTCATTCAGTATTCTGATCTGCCAGAGCGAGCGAGCGAGCGAGGAGGAGAGGGAGAGGACCTCTGGCGAGGAGTGTAACACTAACACATAAACTCGCTCACAGCCTGTACACCGCGGGCGATCGATCCCCTCCTCCTTTTTAAAAAGCAGTCAAATAGTTTCTGCACACAAGCACGGACTGAGAGCTGATCTGCCGGATACAGAGAGCCTTTCAACACTGAATAGATTCAGCTGTTGTGTAATACAAAGAGAGAGAGAGAGAGAGATTCTCCAAGATTCTGGCCAATGAGCTGTTTGGCTTTCCTCCAGTTATATTCCAAATAATAGAGAAAAATTAAAGAGTTTGGACATAAAACTGCGATCCGATGCCAGTTACAGCTAAGCAGATCCTTATTAACAATTTGAATTGGCACGGTTTTCGTCTTCTCTTATTTCAGTAAACACTCCTGAGTCATAAAGAAACTCTGAGCCGTAGCATCGACCTCTCTCTCTGAATCTCTGATTTAGCACTTTGAAAAATCATTCTGTGTTTTCAGTGACAGCGGGATAAATCACAATCAGAGGCCATATTCTGCTGCACACATCTGATCTGCATATGCATTGTGCAGGGGGGCCAAGAGCTGCAACTCATTCATCCGCAGGAGAAAAGACCCGCTGCAGAGAGTTTATCAGTCAACACAAAAAGCGCTGACTTTGGACTAGCACAAGCTGCATAAACAAAAGTGCAGAATATTGTCAATTAAAACTCCTCACTGTTTATCCAACAAAGCTCTGTGGATCTATGGAGCTGTTAACCCTGATGTGTTCTGACTAACACGGCTACTTTTAAACAAAACATCTGCAGATTCATATTCTGATAAGTAAGTCATTAAGCTCCAATAAAAGCACACCTTCTTTTCATAATAAAGCCAGAGTGCAAATCAAACCCAGCGGCATGGAGAAAGAGGAGGAAGACCACCAGCCAGTGGAAGATAAACATGGAAGCAAAAAGGCTAAACTCAGTCATTGTACTCAATCTACAAGCCTGGAACAGTGTGTGCATGGTCAAAGATCCTGGAAATTCATTTTGATATTTGTGACGTTATCGTGACATGCAAAGCAGCAGAGAGAAAGCAGCGTGCACATAAAAGACAGACGAGAGAAAATCAAAGAGTGTATGAGGAGGAGGTCACCTTGGTCAGGAGGTGAGAAGGCTTTCCAGCTATGCTTTTCAGAATGAGCGAGGTTTCTCGGTCCAGATACGAGTGCTTTGTGGGGCGAGGAGAGATAAAAAAAGAAAAACAGAAAAAAAAACAAGGAGAGCAGAGAAGAAGAGACAACATAGAGAGAAGTCAGTGCCAGATGAATCTCGGAGGATGATTAATCGCAGGTGCTGTGATTTATTTGTTGTATAAAGCGTGAGAGAGAAAAGGTTCCATAAATGAAGCAGGTGTGGTTGTCATTAGCTGCAGCTGTGGGTAAAGAAGCAATGACTGTGAGATAATGATGAAATATAAAGAGACAACATCTATCTACAGCTTCCTTCATAATCATACACACACTGCCTCTTTCACACCTTACACACTTTAATGCTTATTGTTACACATGTGCATGTAGTGCACCATAAAGCAAAGGCTGCACGGCTGAAATAATCCATCTCATCTGCAAACACGTGTGTACATGTCTTCTATCAGCATTAACAGACAGCTGTTCAAAAGTAAATGCTGTGATTTGGGAAACTTTCCGCATTTGTAAATCTGGGCCCTATTTTTGCATCATTTGGGGTCTGAGGGACTAACGAGGTACAAAGAAAGTGATTGGATGTGCTCCAGTAGATTGCCTTGGCCAGCAGCAGCATAACGTGCAATAATGTCTGCAACTTGAATCTTCGAGGGCAAATGCATCAATGCAAAGTCAGTATGAAAAAGGAAGTCTTCATTGTTTTGACACTTACAGGCACTAACTGTTATTCACTGGCTCTGACATCATGACAGCAAGGTTTCTACAGAGGTAGACCTATTGCTTAAACGTAAAAATAGTTTTTCTTTCATTAGAAACGGCTGTATTTATTGACTTCTTCACAGCCAACAAACTCAATTCAGAAAAACGAGTTGCTGGTCCTCTACTGACTCGATCTGTCAGATTGTTGGTCTTTACATGACTTTTATATTGTCCTTCTTATCAACTGGTTATTCAACACTACAAAAATCCTCCACAGTCCAGGCACCAGCGCTCACAGACCCCCATGTTCTTTGAAGTTAAGTTAAGGATTTTGTCTGCTTGTTTTAAGAAAGCTTTAAGACGACTGATTCTGGATTAAGAAAAAGCGTCTTACTCTGCAGGAATCCTTCTCCATAATGTGCATGTTAGTGGTAAAAACAATCAATCTGAGTAGGTATGATTAAGCCATCGCTGCCTGTTTTGCGACCACCAGCAGAGGCAATCGTCCGGCTCAATTTCAAATCTTGTATTTTGTACAAGTATTTGTCATTTTCTTGGCCCCAGAATAAGCAGGAATAAAAGCCCAGTTTCAAATGACTAAATAACCCTTTAACCTGCAGCCTTACTTTATATGTGTAAACGTCAAAATGCATGCATGCACACATGCACGCTCACACACATGCACTTACAGTGGCCCGATCCACTTCGCCCTCTCGTGAGGTGAAGTCAAGCTGCCGCCTGGCCGTGTTACCGTTGGCCCGCCGCAGTGTGACATGCTGGGAGGTGCAGACACCGAGGTGTGTGTGGACAGAGACAACAGATTATAGGAAAGGATGCAAACAAAGATAACATGGTGACATGCAGGGAGGTGCAGGGGACATGCAAGATATTTAGCATCAATCATTTTGACTCTTCAGTGATTTCTGTTTCCAAAGAGTATGTCTGGCATGGATTCTGACCTCTTGAACATATCTTGGAGGATAGTTTGCTTTTGTTAGAGAGTCAGCATGCTGTGTGAGTGAACACGGGTACATATGAATGGTAGATGTTGACATTGTAATCCACGTTTCCTATCCTAACAGATTACAATGCATATTTAACACGCAATGCAATGCACAACACATCAGCAGCATTGTGCATTGACTGTGAACACACTTACAGCACAGAGTTTTCTTTAAAACAACATGCTGAGTGGTTAAACATGCAGGATCAGAGCCGGATTGAGGTCAGTTCAGAGGTTTGAGTCGTGAGTGTCTTACAAATACAGAAAGAAAGAAAGAAAGTGCTCGTGTTCTCTTCCAAATAAAATCTAAAAATGATCTGATTTATGCAGGTTTTACTCACCATCTTTCTCACTCACACTTTCTCATCAGCTCGTATAATATCTAACTCTCTGATTTCTTTTGTGTGATGTGGGGTTGAAAGTATGAAGCTTTGGTACTTTTTGATACCAGATTGAATATTTGGTCATACCTCCGTGCTCGTCTGGTTCTGGCCCTGCGTACTCGGGCTGCCTTGCCCCTCCCCCTCTCCACTTGGCATCACTTTATCGATGTCCAGTGAGTCCATGCTGGACGCCGAGGCACAGGCCGAGTTCACGCTGCTCCTCTGGGACGGAGCCTCCTGCTCGCTGGCGGCGCCCACCGAGCCCGTCCTCCGATGCTGACCCCCTCCAGAAGAGCCCGACGAGGGGCGCCGCAGCGTGGTCGAGGAGAAGGAAGAAGAGGAGGAGGAGGAAGAGGAGGAGGTTTGACGTGCGGCCTCGTCCATGCTGAGGGAGGCCTTCTCCAGCTGAGAAGTGATGTCATCCAGGGAGATGTTGGAGGCAGCGGGGCGAGCGTTGACGCTGCCACCTCTGACTGTGTTGGCCGGTGAAGCTCTGGTGCTGCTGCTTGCGCTGCCTGTTGGAGAGTTTAAAGTTTTAACAGCTCAGATGGAGAGGGAAATCATTTGAAGATGATGTTCATGTTATGTGATGCATCTTATTGACCAAGTCTATCATTTAAACCTCGCCACATTTGCAGCTGTAAAACAGGATGTAACATACTCCTTTGGGGGCAATCGATCAATGTATGTCCAATAGCTTATTGTTAACCATTTCTTTGTTACTATTCTGAATGTGTTCATTTCCTCTTGACCTTTACATAAAAAAGGGGGAAAAAATACCTTTTATAAATCGCTCATTCTGCTCTTGCAGCGACTGGATACACCACCCACATGAAAAGATGAGTGCTAACTTTTATCCATAAAGCATCCCCTCCCTCCTTTGCATTGTAACCAAGTCCAAATATTATAAGAGCCCAAAAAATAGCTACATAAATTACAATGAGTGTAGCCGATATTCTTCATATTACGTGACTTTGGGCACTTTAAGTCGTAAAGTCGCTAACAGACAGTGAGTAGTTGTACGTTGAGGTTCTTTGGGGCTTGAAACTGAATAACTGAGTTTGCATCCTGCATGTAACATTTTTCTACACCTTTCAAATGTTGCAAAATGACCTAAAACTTCTTTAAAAGAATCCTCAGAGGATGTGCTTGAAATGCTATTTTCTGATTTTCTTGCACATGCCGTAAACTGTAGCGTGTCTTTCAGACTGATGCTAAAAGACAAGCTAAATATTCATCTGCTGAATATTTCTGTGTTTGGGTCTGAATACTTGTTTGTCTGCCTGGATCTGGTAACACTGATTACAAAGAGGGGGTGAGATGCTTATACTCATGTTTAGGAGAAGGCAGAGTCATTGTTTTATTTATTGTTGGGGAAAATATCTAATGCAGCACCATTGTTATTTGTTACTGCTGATTATTCGGCGGGATTACCTCCGCTGCTTCCCCCTCCACTGGTGCCTGTGTGTTTGGTGCTGGCACTGCGGCCCCCGGGGCCTCGCTGGCTTTTTGTCTGACCACGAGTGTTTGGTTTGGAGATGGTGCTGAGCTCCTGTTCGATGGAGCACAGGTCGGCCATCAGGGCGTCAAGGTCCACCGTGTCGCCCTGGTTCAACGCCTCTGCAAGGAGAAAGGATCAAAGGTAAAGGAATAAAATGTTCATTTGTTTGTCATTTTTGGATCAATGTGAGGGATGAACAAGGTCTCACCGTTTATGTTATACATGGAGAAGCGGTACGAGAAGTTGGCCATGTTTGTCTCCTGCCTGAGAGGAGGCTTCTGCAGAGCTTTCTGCGGCCTGCCGTCATCTAGACTCTGCAGAAAACACACACAAACACACAAATAATGATGTGCATGTATTCAAAAAACACACTCTAACATTACAATGAAATGCACAGGATCTAAGCAACCCTGTATGTCTGCTAGAGACTCCCTTATCACACACACACACACACACTGACGCAAACCTGCACAAACACACAATACAAAGAGGTGGTGGGAGGGGAGTTGCTAGGATACAGTAAAGGGAGATGGGATTAGCAGTGTTAAGGTTGCTATGGAGACAGCCCCTTCCTCTCTGTCTGCTCTTTCTACCTGTGTGAGTATGTAACAGACACTCTCTTTCCCTGTGTGTGTGTGTGTGTGTGTGTGTGTGTGTGTGTGTGTGTGTGTGTGTGTGTGTGTGTGTGTGTGTGTGTGTGTGTGTGTGTGTGTGTGTGTGTGTGTGTGTGTGTGTGTGTGTGTCTAACCTGTGTGAGTTTGTCCAGCTCTCCCAGCCAGGCGCCAAACATCTTGTCCAGGTCCTGGTCCTCCTTATCACTGTCCTCCTCGGCTCCATGGTCCAGCTCGTCGTCTGATACCTGCTCCATCTTTACACACAAACACACAGGAAGAAAGACAAACGTCAGATGATTCCACACATGTGCGGAAAAAAAAAAAAAAAAAAAAACCTCACACACTATCAGATCACACCCACGTAGCAGGGATGATCTAAAAGAGAAAAAAGAAGAAAAAAAAAACCTTCAAGCTCATGCCAACCGCACTGCCTGTTACCATGACAACCGCTCACGGACCCCTAGCGGGCACCCAGTGCATTTGGATCGCTGGTGTGCCCTGTAGTGTGTCGTATGCTCTGCTGACACACCCAACACTTCCACCCCCCCCCCAAAGGAAAAAAAAATGTTGATGGTATGCAGGAGGACTAAATGGATGTTTTGATCACCTGTGGGATCAATAAACCTGCAGTTAGTCACTACACATGTGGAGGAGACGTCAATCAAACCACCCTGAACAACACTAGAAGGTGCTGTTGTGGGCTAAATGGGGAGTGAGTAAAAAAAAAAAAAAACATGGCAGGCTGAGAGCCCAGCTGTGTTCAGTCAAAGGTGATGACAGCGCTCCCTCTACTGGAGGTAAAGGGAAGTGGCTGAACTGCAACACAGAGCAGCAGTTCGCCTTGTGATGCAAAAGAACAGATCTCTTTGGATAGGTCGGATATTCCTACCATCAATCATTCTGGTCGATTTTTTTAGTGAACATTCGTCTCCTTTGCATGTTAAAAATAAACTCATCCTCTATCCAACCAAAGGGAAAAAGAAGGCACTTTAGCCTGCAACTTCCAGCTGTCTCGTATCAGGTTAAAATATGAAGGCGGGGAGTTTCATGTTGTCACTTAGGAATAAATGACAAAATAAAACCACCCAACCTGGGCATACACGGCATGTCACACCTACACATTCACACTGCCTTTGTATATTCACATTGATAACACAACGGTGAATAATGGTGTCCCAGTCAGTGAGTTCACATTGTGTTATGGCGTAATGGTGCCATTGCATGGTTTGTCCATAAGAGGGCAGCCCAACTCTACAGTTCACCATCTTCTCAGCACTGTCTGCAGCACGTACAGCAGAACATTACAACTGAGTAGATGATTGTCACTAGATTTAGGTTATCATGTACGCTAATGTTACATATTATTTAATAAACTTCTTTTTAAAGAAAGCAGCCTTCTTAATACACACACAAAGTCTATAAAGAGAACATTTTAGTAGATTCAAGCTTAGGAAACATACATCGTCTTATCACTAAAAGCCATTTATTCCTATTTCTGGGTCAAACTAGTATCTTGAGATCTTTTCTAGGTCAGCAAGGGAGTCGATAGATTGGTTGCATTCATACACACACACACACACACCTGCACTGGTTGTTTACTTTACATTGAGCAACATTGTATCATGATGACTTGGTACAGTCCTGTTACCCCCAATACTGCCCTCACAGATGGATTATTCCAGAGTAATCCCATTGATGTTTGCACATGGTGTCAGTCCTTCCTGTTAACCACGCTGTATGGTGTCAGTCACTGGTGGGGACTGTACCAAACCAGGATTAACCCCTCTGACGACCCCTGTTCTTTTGATCCTGCAAAATCTGCATGTGTGACTTCACGTGCGCGCGCGTGTGCGTGCGTGTGTTGCTGCACGGCATACATGAGAGCAATCTTAAAGTTGTGCTTGATTGTCAGGTGATAAAAGCAGGTAATAAAACAGCCAGGAGGTGAAAAGGCAATAAAACCGGCAGCGTTTGGCAAAGCAAACAGGAATATGATAGCAGCACCATTGAAAATCGGTCAGCTGAAGACAAACACACACACACTCAGAGCAGCTGAGGGGCGCTTGTTTCACATCACATTCCAGACGGCACACACGCTCTGCTCCTTTAAGCCACAAAAAAAATCCTCCCTCGACCTCCCATCTCAGCCCGTTTCACTCCGTTTGTGTGTGCGCATTTCAGTGTTTATGATTGACGGTTTCCTGTATAAGACCAACTAAAACAACTGAACATATGTGTATATTTGTGTGTGTGAGATGGTGTCCGTGCACTCGTATACAGTGAGTATGTGAGTGTGGGAGTCGGCACAGGAAATGGCCAGGATGTGCAGAATTCCTAATTTCCCTCATGGCCTGTTTCTCATCAGAAAACTCCAGCTGTCCTTCGGTTATCCGTGCCACTTATTGGGGACGGGAGGGGGAGAGGGAGACCCTTTCCAGCCCTTCATGCACTCGCTGTATCTTTTGGGATAACGCGACAAGTTCAGCATACTGTAGTTTGAAAAGCAAAGAGCCACACAAACAAAGGAAAATATCCTCTGTAGTGACCCTCCAATGTGACTTCATAAGAGTCCTTATTGTGACAGAGATATCCATTAGGAATCCCTCAGAAAAGCTGCAAATATATGAGATTGAATAAGACTCTGTTCCTCAAAATATATTTGTGTTAAAGGTACAATGCCTGCTTTAACTACAATCAGATTTTTCATGATGCTAGGATCAGATAAATCACATTGACCGGACTCTAATAAAAAGAGCATCCTTGCTGGAGGGGATGACATCATGGCTGTCTGCAGGCAGACGCAGGAAGAGGAAGTGACTCAAATCAAATGAGCTTCCATTGTGTTTGCCAATGCTCTCTGGAGGTGCTTCCATATGTAAATAAGCCTGAAAGAAATGAGCCCAACTGCAGGACACTTTAACAGCTGTGTTTAAACAGCAATGAGCCTACGGGTGCTTCACAATAGTTAAACACTTCTGCAGATAGACAGCACAGAGAAATGCGTGCATGCTGCTGGTGCTTTTTTAAAAGAAACTATGAGAGGGAAACAGAACAAAAGGAAAATGATGCACACACAAAGAGAGAAACAAGCACTTTGAAAATAGCTCTGCTGCTGTCATTCTAATGGAATCACAGCCTCATGCAGCAGATGATGGTGCAGGTTTAAGTGAATTACCACCTGAGGCCCTGCTTTTAAGCTCATGGAGCACGACCTGAGAGCGAGTGCAGTGTGTGTGTGTGCGTGCGCGTGCAAACACACTCCTACAGGCATCATCGCAAACCAAACAACAGCCATTGGCCTTTTGGCCCTCCTGATCCTGCACGGTCCATTCTCTGTTGTCTGAGCATGACCGGCTCTCATCTGTCTCCTGCGGCTGCCCGGCAGCTCAGAGGTCTGAGGGTGAGAGGCTAAAGATCAAAAGGTGCCATCCCCGAGGAGTCTCGCTCTGCAGACTTTTTCTGTCCCCCCCAATGCGAACACATGCAGCTCTTGCAGATGTAACGGGACGCAAGAAGTGAAAGGAAGGGAAGATAAAACCTGCGTTGTGGGGGGAAAGAATCTCTCTGAATCGAAGAGAAAGTCAAGCAAACATCCGGTGCTGAGGAGGATGAAGAGATAGAGAAAGAGGAGGAGGAGGGGGAGGTGTCTATCTTTAGAATAAGTCGTCTCATATCAGAGAGAGTCAGGAGGATTGCTAAAGATGTTGAGTCCCTGCACAGACAGCAGAACAGGCATATTAAATTATATATACCCGATATTGAGCAATTTCTTTTTTTACACTGAATGAGGCAAACACTGTTGTTTTGGTCCAAGAAAGTCGGCCAATAAATAAGACACACAGCATCATTGGTTCATCTTCTTGTCATATGATGATAGGTCACACTTCCATAATGACTGACGCTGCCTGTGAGCTATTTTCAAAACAAATGCCGGCGATCACAACTGCAAACAAGAGGAGAAGAAGTAAGGAGTGAAAGTTAATCCACAGAGTGAGAGAGGGCGGGATTGATCAGAAACAGCCTAAAAGAAAAGACACAGCAGTGTTTGGGTGTGACACAGACACAGAGAGAGTTCAACATGACATCAGAGGTCAGATTGGGTCTCCGTGGTTTGCTCCTTCCTTGATTCAGTTCACACAATGGAAACAAAACACTGCTGTTTATTTGGTTCACGTTCATCTGAATGTGGGAAGAACAACCACAACCTCTTCTTCTCCACAGAAAGGGACGAGTTAGAGGAGAAGTTTCTCACTTTCTGACAACACAAGACTCATGGGAAAGTGGATTAAAGTCGCTCATTACATCAATTTCAGCGCTTTTCCCATCAGGTTGCATTTCACAACGCAACACTAAGATACACAAACATGATTGAGATTTTTCGGAGGAGATCTAAACACCTTTTGGTTTGAAAACTGTGGGTTGCATTAAAGTGCATAAATAGAGAGACTGGACTGTGGAAACAACAACAACATCTAACTCGGGGGGACAGTGCAGAGGAAACACACAGCCCTGTGCATCTTACATACAGTAAAAACAAACAGACGGGCAACCATGAAAACAAAGAGTTACGCAGAAAACACAAATCAAATAACATGATTCTCAATGTGCGCAGTCAAAAATGTGTCCTTCCTGAGTGATGTCATGAACTACAGGATCAGGAGTGTCTGAAACACCTTACATAAGTGCTGCACAATAAATATTTGCTGCTGCAATACGAGCATTTGGAATATACAAGGCCAGTTTGACCTGGACTCTGACACCATGCAGAGAAATATGCATGGTGTCAGGGGAAAGTGGGAGTGCAAGAGGAGGGAGAGGAATGTCAGGAATCAGTATAACCCCATCTCTGGAGACCTGAGCAGGTGTCAGACTCCACTCACTTTGAATCTGCTGGCTCCTGTGGTGTAAACGCTCCTCCCTGTTGTAAAACGATGCGACGCTCCCCTCCAAACAACAAGTTCACCATCGCATCTCCCTCAGTCTCCCCTCTCGATAACAAACTGTTCCACTGAGTGCTCCTACAGATGTGCAGCCTTCTTCTTTTCCAGCTGCTGTCTGAGTCTACAAGGCTTATTTGACTTTGCATCGTTAATCGTATTTGCAGCATATTTACTTATATTATATTTCGTCCTTTTTCATGCAATTGTTGCTTTTGTTTCACAGCTTTGCATGTGTCTTCCATGTTTCTCCTAATGGAAATAGTTAAAGCGCTTGCAGCACAATCGTCCACCACAGCTTTCAGCCCCACGTCTCG